CCCCGCAGCGGAGTGGGATTATTTCCAGCGAGGCTCAGGGCGGCTGCGTGAGCACAGGCCCGGGTGTGTGTGAGTGTGTGAGTTTGTGTGAGAGAAAGAGAGTGTGTGAGTGTGCGTGCTTCTCTTGATCTCTGTCCCTCCATCTGAATCTGCCTTACTATGTTTCACATCTTTCTGCCCGTTTGTTTCCCTCCCTGTTTCCCCATCTTCCTCTTCCTGTCCTGCCCACTCTGTGTGTGATTTTTGTCGTCTTGGCCTTGAAAGCTCCAGAAAGGAGTGAAGACTTGCCTCCCCCCAACACCCTCATTTTGCCCTGGTCCCTTTCCTGTCACACACAGGCAGGCCTCAAGGCTGGACTCAGAGGAAGCCCATTTTGTTCCAGATAATGATGCAGCTGTCCCTGCCCTGTGCACAGACGACGGGGCTGGGGAATCTGGGGCTGTCCAGGGGCCAGCTCCCCACCTCCCCGCCTTGGTCACTGTCTGCAGGATTGGCCTCTTCTCCTGCTGGGCCAGCTCACTCTGACACTCAGCATTGATGTGCAGGCCTCTTCTTCCTCCCAAAGTTCTCTGCTTCTCTCTTGTCCCTCCCAACTCCCAGCACAAGCTAAGCCTAGTCACGGCCCTGTGCTGACCCCGAATCTGGTTTCACAGTGACCCTCGCCTTGGCCATCAGACTATCCCTGACCTTTAAGCCTGACTCTGTCCCATCCCCTTCCCCTTCTCTGCCTCCGTTGATCTCTGCCAGTACCACCTGGACATGCAAGGTTCACAGCTTGCTTTTTAAATGAATTATTTTCCACAGTTCACTTTGTAATGCTCTAGTGCAAGTGAGGACATACGTAAATCCGCGAAGGAAGACCAATGGGAGAAAGTGTGTGTGTGTGTGTTGTTTTTTTAACACCCCAGGTGGTTCTGACACAGGCCAGCCCTACCCACTTCCACAATACGCACATGTGGGCTTTCCCTTAGGGATTGCAAGGGGGAAGCCAAGGCAGGTTTGAACCCCCACACAGGGATAACTGGGCTGGGCTGGGGCTTATCTTCAGGGACCAGACTCCCAGGCACCAGTCATCATACCCAAGCCCTTTGTTTTTTTTGTTTTTTTTTTTGGTGGGGGGAGGTAATTAGGTTTATTTATTTATTCTTGGAGGAGGTACTGGGGATTGAACCTAGGACCTCATGCATGCTAAGCATGCGCTCTACCACTGAGCTATACCTTCCCCAACACCCAAGCCCTTTCAGATGCCTCTCTATACACCTGGCAGTGGGTCACTACAGCGTGCCCTCCTCACTTGTCCATTCATTCATTCCTCATCAAACACTCAACGAGGCCTCAATGGATTGGGTCTGGGTAAGATCTGTGGGATACACACCACCGTCTGGAGCCTGAGATCTTGGACCCCTGGGGTCAAGCTGGGGCTTGGAAGGACAGGGCGTGGGCAGGAAAGGCCTCTGCAGCAGCTGGACCAAGACCTGAACCAGAGTATAGGCCAGACAGACTCCTGCGGCCCCAAGAGGAGGCACCAGGTCTGGAAAGTGGGAGGGGACCCCTCCCTTCCCTTGCCCTGGGGTTGGGATGGGGGCCTGTGAGCTTGCAGGTCAGTCAGCTGAGGAATCACCTTGAGCGGGGTGGGGGTTGGGGGGTGTCAGCAGGGAGTGGGCCTGAGAGGTGGATCCCCCAAAGGAAGAAAAGAACTTCCTTCTCTCTTCCTCCTTTTCCCCAGCCCTTCCTGAAAATCAAGGGCCAGGGCTCTCCCCCATCACACTAAGGGCAGTCAGGGCTGAGGGGATGGGTGAAATGGGAGACAAAGCAGGTGGCAGGGGAGTCTC